AGTGATTTGGAACTAATTACGATATAACCGTCCCTATCCGGACTACTATTTCTGACAGTTGGTATTCGCAGTTAGTAATATAGTGAACGATTAATCAAAAGATATGACGTGTCCAGTACTTAGTGTGATTGGCTGTGTGCAGGTCGAATGTGTGAAGGCCACGCCTTAGAGTCTTTATAATGCTTTGTAATTGGTTAAGGTTTTGAAAGTGAATAAAGTTGTTTTAGTTGGTCTTGGCGAGTACACCACGACAGACGTAGTCTAGGGACAGAGTCTTGGGTCAGCCTTGCTATAGTCTTGGGGACATTTCCCCAGGGCGCTTTGTCTTATAGAGTGTTCGACTGACCGACTAAAGACGAGAGTTGAAACGTATTTTGTTGTGTGCGTCTATTTGACTGTTAGGTCCCGATCCCGTACCTCGAGCAGACGTGTATAGAGACAGAGACGAGATCTCCCCCTGACACGTGTGGAGAACCCCAGAAGAATTTCCCCGTGATAGTATCTCGGGACAATGATTAAAAAGTAAATGTTGAAGAATATCAAAAGCTGCTTTCTTTAAATGAAAGCGTCTCTTAAAACCATCAAGCGGAAATCGTGGAACAACGTTCTCCGCATAACCAAAAATGTTCACTCTCGTGTATCGCTGTTTAACGCCACTAAATAATAACATTAACTTATCGTCGTCTTAATCATCGTAAAACTGATTAAACGAATACGTTTCTGTATCAAAAACTTGTTTGATGAAAGAATACGCACCGTTGCTGAGGGCCGCCATCATGAATAATCGTGATTATGCTAATCGTTGTTTTGTTTACAGCCTCGTTTTCAATATTTACGTCTTGATAATCGTTGAGAATCATGATCGTGATTTTGCAATATCAAACGCGCCCAAGGTATTTTACACCGATGCGCAGAATGTTGTTCAATAACTTCATATGAGAGCTGCCAAATGGGTACTAAAACATTGTACTACGCTATATGAAAGACCGGAGCTATAATGGCCCTTTCATCTATATTATTTATTCTCTCCCTAGAAATATTTCAAGTCACCCTGCAGCATAATAGTAATGTGCATGGAATTATGTTTGAACGTGAATGAAGTTTATTTCACTATGAACATATATACATATAATAATAAACAAATAAATGTGATATATAAACAAATGAGTAAATAAAATTAAGTAAATAGGTATATATAATTTGAATTTTAAATATATATATATTTATATAAATTATCTATAGTGAATATCACAAAAATAGTTCCCTAAAACTAGTCTAGTCCATGACCTTTTTTAAAGAATGAACTGAATAAAGAGTAAATAATACTATTAATAAGTTATATACAGGTACATAGTTGTACATTCATTTGAATAGATTCAAAGTCTTAAATTAACAAAAGAGATGAAAGAAAACAAACTGATTGAAGCATTTTTGTCAATTACTTGGAGAAGTCAGAAGAGTAACAATAAACTTAGAGTTTAGTGTTATGTTTTTTGCGAAAACCAAATTGCGTGTTTGAAAGTATGTGATTTTTTCAAGGAAACTTATGAATTGTTTATTCACAATCGATTCAAATATTTTGCTAAGGATTGGTAAGATTGAAATAGGGCGATAGTTACTGGCCTCTGCTGGAATACCTTTTTTGTGAATGGGTGCAACTTTTAAGTCATCAGGAAAAACACATTGGCTTAACGAACAATTGATAATGTGAGCAATGGGTCGGGCACTAATGTTAGCTGAATGAATTGATGTTTTAGGGTGTATATCGTCATGTCCTGCTAATTTATTGGGATTAAGGGATTTGATTTGATTGAAAACTTCGGACTCGTATACTGGGTGGAAAAATGACGAGTTAATTTGACTCCCGGTGAAATGATGTCGAAAGTCATCTGTGTTCGTTAAACTAGCAGCAAGGCTCGGGCCAATATCTGTGAAATATTCATTAAGTTCTTCACCGATATCAGAAATTTTCGTTAATTCATGGGGGATGACTTTGTTTTTGTTTTATTTAGGATCTCATTAATAACCTGCCATGTTTTATTTGTGTTCCCGCGGGTGACAACAAATTTATTTGAGTAATAAGACGTTTTAACCGACTTTAGCAACTTAGTCAAGACGTTTCTATATTGTTTATATACGTGTGCATTTTGGAGAAGGGTTATTTTTCATTTTAATAAATGGGTTTTGACTTTAATAGTTCTTTAGTTTTCGAAGTTGTATTTGTAAATACCGTTTTTTTTTTGTCTAAAAACATGTTTACTTTTTTTTAAGGATACCAAAAATTGGATAATGATCACTAATGTCCTTTAGGATTGTGCCACTTACAATAAAGTGATTAGTAATATTTGTTATGGAATCGTTGTGCTGGATTGTTGAAAAATGCAAGTAGTAGTGCTGATTATCTGGGTGAAATTATAAGCATTGAGAAGGGTGAGATAGTAACAGGTGTTCAAGTCTCCTTGGCAAAAACAAATACTTGTTGTTGCACCAGAGTCCGCGGACTTCATCAGGAGACTGTGATAAGCACGTCTTTCTTCGGTGGTCGCTGAGTAAAATCAATCACATGGAAGACACCGATTCAAATGTAATAAACCAATAGATATATGGATGACATCCAACAAGTATGCCAATTCAGATGGTATCTTAAGTTAGCAAATGATATGCAAATTACAACTATACTAGAATACATACCTACAACACAAATCAACACTGTATACCTAAAATAATCTCATTTTACACATTCCGCGAAACTAATCTATTAAGTGCACCATTACGACATAATAACATCTTTTACAATAATCCTGCACTAGAAAACCAAGAGAATTAATTACAAGAGAACCAATAGGCTCATATAACATAGGTAGATTGGACTACTCCAAAATCAATACGAAGAACTACAAAAAGCCAGATTATCAACGACGAACATTATTAATGATCCATTTTTACAATACAATGTACATCGATTTTTGTTTAAGTTGCGTCATAGATGGTTGCAGGAATGTTAACAGAATTCTTTAAAAAAAAGGAAAAAATGATTGAAGTCTGAGTAATGCAATGCATTGTGGGGCTAGTAACACGACTTCAATTATGGAGACTTGTCCACTATAACGATCATACTTTTTTTAATATGACAGCCAAACCCCTGGCTGTGTGACGCATATCGTGCAAGGAATGCCGGGAGTTTGTTCGAGACTGACGATATAATAAATCATCTCAGTTATTACTTTAATAAATAATGATAAATGAAACTTATAGACAATGTAGAAATGAGCTGGGCAATTTTTTTTTTCAATCAGCAGTTAGTTTGATAGTTCCTTGCGTGTAATACGTTCTACGCTGGTGCATCATTGGAAATTGTGAGGGCCCAGAATGATTTGTCTGAAATATCTCAAGCACTGTTTTAAATAGGGACATACACCTAGTGTAGTATTGAATCCATCGGACATGTGACTAACATATCAGATGACCATATATGGTCATATGCCCTTAATTAACATTGTGACGTAAAATACGGGGTGGGGGCCTTTCTGGGGCTACTCCGTATTCAGGAGCTGGGAGCTTATCTTCAATGCAGGTCTAATAATAAACATCTTTGCTAGCGTGCTATCTTGTAAGTCTCCTCCCTTTCAGCTCGTCCGCTGCTACGAAGGTGGGAAACGTTTGATGAATGTATATCACCACAACTGAGGCGGTGCAGGGAAGGACATATACCAGTAACGAATACAATAAATCAAAACAACACGATATATAAGGTTTCCTTTACTTTAATAAATAAATAATAGGGTTGCTGGTCACTGGAACCATCAAGAAATGGGGATATACAGTAAATAAATAAAATTAGGGACCTGATCGATGCTGCATGGTTCATTCCACTCTCTGATGGACAGCAATGTACAATCTTCCATCGTATCTGGCATACTGTCGAAGCAGGTGCACTGCAATTTGAACTCGTGCTCTGTGTCCAGGGAGTATCGGCAACTGCACTGCTATCTGCTGCTACTGGTAGCACTGGTACAACGTTAACGGGAGTAGTTCAGGCAGTCAACTTCAGTGGTTCCTGTTGATCAGCAGGGATTACTGCACAGCACGTTTGCATATGTACCCCAGTATAAGGTACAGCTCATTGGAGGCAAGAATCAACATCACAGGATATAACAGTATCACGTCAGGTCACCTTCCTGAATAAAGGTTTTCACACATGTCTCAACGTAATACCACAACTAAATTATGGCCATGCAAGCAATAAAATGTATTCAACGAAATGATTGGTTATCTCGAAATAACGAACCAATTAGTGTATAATGAATGCCAATTTTGGTATTGGAATAAACCACTCTATATTCAAGCTCTACCAATTTAAAGTAGAAGACTCGGGTCAATGATATCGTATCTATTTTTATTGCTAACAACGCTGGGCTCAGCACATTCCAAGATATTTCACAATCACCACACCACAGTCTGTGACATACCATTACAAGACGCATGTATATCAAATTCTGCTGACAACACAATCCAGTGACTGTATCAGCAGTCTAAAAATAAACATGTACAATGGGTTGTTACAAAGTATCCAAACGTGTGTACTTTTCATTCACACATCAAGGGCTCTGTTTTCTAAAAGTACTTTTCATGTCACAATATGCATAACTATGTAACATTCTTACAGATAGGATCATGTAACAAGTACAGTAATGATGGTGTATAACCACAGAAATAACTCACAATTCTTTTGACCATATGTTCACATTACCTCATTAATATGCATAAGTGTATTATCATAAGTGCTATTGTAGATAGGACAATGCAATATCGGAGCATTTGGCAAGAGATGTCCATATATGATCATGTGTCTCATTAATTAACTGCATTCTCAGCAAATATCAGCAGTAAATGACAGTAGATAACACAAAAGTACGAGTGATTGCGGAGCATGCATCCATCTGATAATGAAAATTACTAGGATTGTGGAGAAATTGATTATACTATGACTTGATTCTTTTTTATCTGCATGTTGAACATTGCCAGATTGCCGCCTGAATATCGTCTATATAGAGAGCCTGGTTGTCTGCTTTAACTACAATGACAACAAACAGAAAACAAAATTAGCAGTACTAGTATATCGAATACAGAGAGAGGTACATGCATGGCTAATTCAAAGAACTAGGCAAGATTCCACCATAAGCCTGTTTTCTTACAGCTATAATATCTTTGGAATTACTAGGTATGTTTGATATGTTGTCTGTGTAACTATATGAATGCTGTAATAAAAGCGTATGTCTTTAACAACTATCGTTCTTGTGTAAGTGCGCCCTCTTGGGTATTCAGACTTGAACGTATCTAACCTGGCGTGTAGACTGCAACTTCACACAATACTAACACAGCAGTAGTTTCCATAGAAACTGTAACCTCATTCCCTCGTAAAGGTTCTGGATTTCTACAGTCCAGCAAGATTACTTCGGAACTTGCTGTATCCGCATCTACCTGGCTGCCACATTGGTCACCAGCGGGGTTCACTGTCACTATAGCGCCCTCTATGTTGGATGCTAAAACAAAAAAGTCATGATTTATTATAAATTTGTGTTTTGAATAATAAAGTGCTAATACTAGAGGTATTTCAAATACTATTGGATATATATTCCAACTTCGTGAATATGGGTATATACAAGTTTTATTGTATTCTAAAGAAAAATATATTAATAAGAAACACAGCTTTGTTCATAATTTCTCTGTCGCATTGTTAAGGGTGATCCGGAATTGGAAAACGTATTTTTACTCAAATGTAGATTGTGAAATTCACCCATCTCTTATTCAACATGTCAAATGTTTTGCATGTGTTTTTTATAACCATTGCGCAAATGTCTGAACTACCCACCTATAATGCAGTTAGATTCAAGCCCAATAAGAGTTTGAAAACTAAAGTGAAAATAAAACAGTTCATATGAGGTTCATATGATCAAATTTTGTTACACTGACTTTCGAAAATGTGTTATCAGCGATTTGGAATTAAATGAATTTTGGTGGCATTGACTTACCACAGCAATCTAGTCGATTGGTGATCGTCACGTGATATATATCAAGAGAAACACCTAAGTGTACCGTCCACCACGGAGAAGGCTCAGAAACACTCGAAAAACAACTTCCTGTAGAGTAGTTACCGTTCTTATTGCCATCAACAGCGTTCGACGCATCGCCTTTCCCGTTTACCTCCGATGATGAGGTTACAGTTTTGCCAACGGCGTAATTGATAAACGTCTCTGGGTCCAACGATGGGTCTGCGGGAAGGAATCACAAGTAATTTAGAACCGCAGTTGTGTAAAGTATATGACAAATAGATTAAATCTACTATTTCGCATCATCAGTTTCTCACATTATCATCAATTCCAATTACACAAAAAGAAAATGTTGGAAAATACCATTAAATTATTTTTATCGGGCAGGGAAAAGTATAAACTATGAATGCAGGACACTAACTCAAGTTGAACGCATTACAATAATAATTCTTTTCAAATTTGAAAATGTTACTTGAGCATTCAGACATTATTCTTGATTGTTGGTTATATATGACGCTCTAATGGTTTGACACCTCAATTGGAATTTGTGTAATCTGCTCTATTTTGAAGACAGCTTTTTTGCAAAGAGTGACATACTTGTATTTCAAACTCTTTTATTATTATTTCAGGATAACCAAAACTTGTATTTGTGAGTGGAACTTGGGCGTAAAACTGCTGGTTGTGAAAAAGATAAAGGGGGTGGTCGTCGCGTCGCGTCCTGTTCGATATAGGACTCATAGTGACGTATACAACGAGTGTAAAATACATTGTTTGTTTGAACATGAACTTTGAACACGACGACCACCACCCTTTAACTGATACATTTCAAGAGAGCAGTCAGCTGAATCGAATTATTCATGTTTGTACATTGTAATCTGCGAATTAATTTAAATATTGGACCTGAAACAGACATGTTTACGCAGACAGTCTGCCTTACCCAATTTTAGTGCAGTATATTCAAGCAAATTGTCACTTGATGATTGTGTGTTCTGCCAAACTTCAGGTGGTATGTTGTACCATGTCTCTCTATCGTCGTCACTGAATATAATCGACCTGCCATCTCCTCCAACGCCATAGTACGCATCAGTGTCGCTATCATATGCAAGTATGTTTGTTATTTTAGGACTTTTACCTGAAAAATAAACACACATAAACTTCAACGCCCAAAGGTTGTGTCATAATACGACGTTGCATACTTAATCGTTTATGTATGAAACAGTCACTAACGACACAGACTGAAAAACACGACTATAACACCAGTCCTCTGTACATTAGCGCAAAATACATATCAGTATAGCAGTTTATTTATTTACCAGCCCATAAAGTATCATTGGTCTCCGATCCCAGCCTAGACTCGCTGCAATCGCCCCCATCCCTATAAACAACAGAATATTAGTATTGCCTATTGAATATAACGTGGAAGATAAACAGTTAATAGGGGGCAAGGGGACAGCTGGTACAGGTTACAGGAAATAGAAAAGGCATTTTACGTTTTTACAAAAAATAAAATGAAAGTTCCATGTACAGTGAAAAAAATAGTTTTTTACACTTCACAGATTCCTAATTACATTTGATATTTTTATATTCTAACCAGTAACTTATTCAAACCAGTAACTTATAAACATTACATGTCCCCAACCACAACAAAGTCACTACCATCTGGTTCATCAGCATTATTACTCATTCATCTGGGCAATGTAGACTCTTCACAGTTTACCCAAATATTCACATGCAAATGCAGTAAACCAATTAGTTCAGCACACATTTTCACACCATGTTGCCTTGCAACATTCAGTTAAATATTGAAAAGACTATTGAAATGGAACACATAATGATAACTGCATTTTGTTAAGCTACCGGCAGCCGTGCTGGATTTAAGAAAACCTGTGCACAATTTGTCGTACTTCCAGTGGTAGTGATGTGATGTTTTTTGTGAAAGCATTACTAAAAATTGTTCTATGAATGTTACAAAGAAAAATAATTAATTTTATTCCCGAAATGATATAAAATGCTTCTTCTTCATAATCATTCATTTTATTAGTCTGCAATGTAACATGCATATAAATGTATATTACAGTTTTAAAATGTGTGGTAATTGGTTGTGAAGTTCGGCGACAATGTTCATGTTAAGGGAAATGCTGTATTTATCATACATGGGATGGAGAACTAAGCAATGTGAAATTGATCACTTTTCAGACGATTCTCAAAGAAGTATTTTTGAAAAAAATATAGTACAATAAGTACTTATTATTAGTGATATAAATACAGATTATGTTGCTGATGAAGAAAAAACACATTTAATTTTATCACTTTCTGTTTTTCATTAAAAAAATGTCCGTGTGACTAATCCAAACTCTAAAAGTTGTACCAGTTCACTTTAGGGTATGGGACATTTTAGACCATTTGATTTAGCAAAGGGCTGGAGAAAAAAAAAAACGGTGAAAGAATAAATGAACGATAACAAACGAAATCCAAACTATTTTGGCTTGGAGCCCTGATTAATATTGTTAAAATAGTCACATGTGCTGTAGGATAAGAAGAGATAGGAGCGAGTCCAGTCAACCAGAATAACAGCCCTGAGACAAATCCAACATTGGCTTCTCAAATAACCCTCCTATAGTCTGTGTCTCGATGAACGTACTACAAGAACAAAATTTAGATAAGATTTATAACAACCCAGAACTTACCAGGCTACCAGCGTGTCACATATCATAAGATCACCTTTATGTTTTCTCACAAGTATCCCTCTCTCATAGGTATCTATATATAGCATAAATAATTGAGTTGAAAGTTACAATGATTATATTTTCGTGCTTAAACATCGATATAGCAACGCCCTTTCACCTGGAAAGGGTGGATATGATAACAATTATGAAGTATTGAGACTAATATATCAAGTTTCCGTGGACTCGCCAATTTGTTACACACTCACACAATTAGCAAAAATGACAAACAATGGAATGGTCGCGGGAAAAGCAACCGGTATTCTTTGCATGCGCCCTCATCGGAAGTGGAATCCAAAACACATTTCGGCCTTAAAAACTCGTAATTTGTTTAAAATATTTTGACATACCAAGTTTTGTTGATATAGCAATTTGTCATGTTGTAGTTGCCGTGATACAGCGAAAAATCGCATAGGTATGCACTCGAACTGGGTAGTCGGGTAGAAGGCTCGTCCCATTTTTCAGAACGTTCTATGGCAACACTGATGTGGATATTCATTGTTAACATGCATATTCTATTTATTTGCACCAAACTTCGCAAAACCTTCATACGATAAGAATGATCTAGCTGTTATACGATATTATTTGCGATCATTACCGGAAATGACGTTGAAAAGCTCAAGGCAGTATTGATTTTTTTTTTTAATTACAAGCTTCAATACGCTTTGAGGTGTTAATGATTCTCGTATTACGTGTTAGTTACGAGTAACTCTTCAATATTATATTGTCACGTCAGTCCATTATTTATGAGTTTGTACAAGTTAAATATTGTATACAACAAATTTACCCGTTAACGTAGAAGTTTGTCTTTCAATATCGTTGGAGGGTACGGTCTTTTCATCTGTAAAGCAAAAATATGTGACATAATTATAATTATGTGATTATATTATAATTGGAAAATTAACATAAAAAGTCAACGACATTAATATAAGTGTATACCTTCAATTTCGCATATATATCCGCGGTCTTTACTACATTTTTTGTCATTCATGTTGTAACTAGGCGACAACAATTCGACGCAGTTCTCATTGTCCAAGTAATTGTTAGGTTCATGCGGTAACCACATGCTGTATCGGAGGTAACTACCGTTGACCCACTTAAATATTCCTTCTGTGTCCCGATCAGTCAAGCCGATGAACAAGTTGGTGAGTGCCCCTGTTGTGTTCAGTAGATTTTGGACAAACTCCCATTCGTTTGCGTCTTCTACTGTAAGAAGATGACCGCCCTCTGCGGCGCAATCAGCGCTTGCTTGATCAAAGTTGTAATCTTCATCATCAGTGATGTAATAGCACGACGTTTTGAAACGATGATGCCCGTCTTTGCATTCTGGAATTAAAAACAGTATAAAAACTGTTAATAAACGGAAAGTATTTTAGGTTGTATACACGGTCATGTATCTCAATAATCACATGCCTGAGGTTCGGTTCCATACAGCTTCAGTTTTTGCAGGCCTAAGTCATTTCATTACATCGAAATCGTGAGATTCAGGCGATGGAACAGATGCGTTTTATGGCGATTATTCCAAGTTCAAAATTAGTGCCCGACTCGGAGAATGGGAACCATCTTTGGTCACGTTCTGTCACAGGGAGCCCAGGAACTATAATCAACTGTAACA